AGATTCAACACACGTTGTGCAATCCACAGAATTTCCTTGACCACGAAAAACAACTCGAAATGGGCAACAAGAAACTGCTTGAGGAAGGCTGTTTCAGCAAATAAAAATCATTCTTTCGATACACGAGTCGATGTAATAACATTACACATTCCACGACACCACTCCATTCCTCCTCGTCGCTGTTCTCAACGCCGGCACGGTGTTGTTGCCCGGCCACCTCGGTATTCTGCGGCGAGTTGTTCATGATTCCTCGAGATACACGCAACAGACAAAAAGGGAAAAAAGAAAGAAAGAAAGTCAAAGGGACCGATTGGAATTATCTTCACAAAGAAATATTCTCTGCAGAGAGAATGTTGGATCACCACCTGGAGGGGAGATCCTGCGTGCGTGTGACACCGTGGTCGAGAGAAGTGTCAAAAAATACGTGATGTTAGGACGTAAGTACGCGCGCGCTTTCGTACGACTTCACTTTCGAACTAGCGCTTCACTTTTCACGTTTCTCTCTCGCATTGTGCTTACATTTCGACTTACAGGCGACGCGCCAGCCAGCCAACCAGCCAGGCCGTGAGGTTAACGTGCGTTTAGGCGCGATTATATATGCTCTTTTATTATCTTCCTTCCCGGCTGGTCGCCGGTTCTCAATGCGCCTGCCCGACAATATCGGCTTACAACCCTGTCCACTGTTCGGTGGCAAGCACTGAGGGTGGCGGAGGAAAGAGAGAGAAGCACGCGCAGTCTCATCCTCTCGTGGTTGGTTCCTCCTCTCTTATGTTCACCCCCTACCTTCGTTCTTTCCGTCACCTTTTATCATCCACCTTCCTTCTCTTCTTGAACATGTGGAACAGGAATAACTTCTCGCGTGCAACGTCCTTGCAGTTTGCGTACCGTTTTTTCTTCTCCGTTGGGGTTGATGTCAATGAACATCGTCACTTTCGACGTATACACGCAGCTGGAAAAATTTTTATGCTTCTTTGAAATTTTTCTTTCACACTCTTTACACGTTACAATACTTTGTTATACAAGCAATGTTTATATCGTGATAGACGTAGGGATGAAGTGATATTTGTGAGAATTGGCATGCCTGGTGAAATCCAAATTCTCAGAAATCTTGACTTACAATTTTCAACTTTCTACCTTTAATCTGTCTAAAAAAGTTGATCAGAGATTGCAGAATGGCAAAAGCAAATAGGTTTCATCAGTGACGTTCTTTTTATTTCGTCGCTATTTCCATTTTGGTACTTCACCGAACTGTTCTTTGAACGACGAGAATAACGTGTCGCGACCCCTCCATTCGTTGCTGTGGTCTTTGATGTATTTTTACAAATCACGTCTCAGCAAACAGAGAAATACGTAGCTCTTACGTAGCAAAGAATGACGCCCAGGAAATGCAGAAGAGTCACTCACTGTTCAATTCCTTTTACTGCTGCTTTTTCTTCCGCTTTTTTTGGTCGATTTTTCGCTTCGCGATTTTCTCTGCTGAGGTAACAACCGGAGTGTCTTGTACTTTCAGCGGCGGTAGAGGCGGAGGCTTTGCTTTCGGGACTGGGACGTGTCTGTAGAAATGAATTGCTCGTTTCATTAAATTAATGCTTGATGTAATATTCAATGGACATACTTAATAGACATGTGTATCTCTTGAATAGATCGATCCCGAATTACATTGATCCAGATATTCGATTGTGTTCTGGGTTTCACGCATAGACCTTTGCCTACGCAACATTCGACATTATCACGTTCCTCTTGAGCCTGAAACTTTTTCTGCCAGCATTCCTCCCATTCACGCAAACGTTCCTTTTCATCTGCTTCGCGTTTCGCTTTCTCGGCTTGGTCCTTCTGTTTCCTTTCCACAGATCGATCGAACTTTTTCCTTTTCTTGCGCTTTTTCTCTCCGGCCTGTTCCATTGCCTTCACACTCTCCGCACTTTTGATGTCTATCTTTACCACACGTGGCACGTTAATTGCTTCTTCCGGATGTTTTAATTGCGGGAAACTTTCCTCTCTGATAACCGATAATATCATCTTTCTCGCGGCGTCATTCAAATTAAAAACAACGTGCACGAATATCGCTTCCCATTGTAAAGCTATTAGTATATTTCCCGTCAAAATCTTGAATATATATAATACGTCATGTGGAGAGGTCAACTGAAAATCGAGAAAAGAATAATAATAATAAAGCGAAATGATGAAAAGAAAAAGAGTAGTTTAATTCCTGAGTGTTTTTTATTACCGAGGAATAGTTGAGGATGTTCAGATTCGGACTGCGTGCTCTATTGCCTGTTATGCTTATCATGTTTACGGGAAATTTTGTTCCATGTATGGCTGAGTTAAATGTGGATGATTTCACAAGGTTAGGTGTGGAAACAAAAGCGACGATTAAGTGACAATTTCACTTTTATCTATTATTCACTTAAAAAAAAAAAAAAAAAAACATGTATTCAGAACCTTCGATGTTTCTCAAATAATAGTCATTAATAACCACTTATATGAATTCTATACGACATAAATACTCACACGAATGAAATAAAATTATCCTTATCGCTTGGCACATCATTCTCTTTACATTCTCTTCTCCGAACATTAAAGATAATCTTCCTTCCATTCTCCAGAGAAACCTCCTTTTCATTTCTTTTTACCACAGTTGCAACTATAATCTTTCACCGGGCATCCGCATTTCTTCACGGTTTCCTTGCTAAGCAAATCGCTAAATGGTTTCAATCTTGTTACGCAACAAGGTGGACAAGGATCTGGCTCTGCACACGGGCTGCACTTCTCTTCTGCAGCTGCTCGTTGACGAAGAGAGGCGCGAATACTAGAGATTGGTTCAGAACAGCAACACGGAGAAGCTGTTTGATCTTTTCGTCGTGCTTTCGGTGAACACGGGCATTGCTTCCTATAAGAATGTCGTAATATGTACGAAAGGACGATTAAGGGAATGTTTGTAACAGTAAAGGAAAGCTCCAATGTTAAAATTGAAAAGAAAAAAAGAAGACGTATGTGTAGAAATTTATTTGTAGCACGTTTGAAACAAAATTTGATTTTTAATTAGTCTTTATCCAATTTATTCAAATTACCAGCAAGTTTGTTCAAACGCTTTTTTTTTTTTTTTTAAAGATACTGAAGATAAAGTGATGGTGCTGGAACGAAACAGAATGCATTCTCCCTGCTCTGATTTTCTCCGGTTTATCCTTCGCTTTTGATCGCGGGTAATTAAAAATTCTCATCTACCTGTGTTCTAGAAAAATTGAGAAACTGCAGAACATTGTAGTTCAAACGTATCAAGAAGCATAAGAACAGAAGACTGGAATACACGTGTGAAAAGTTCCAACAATCCAGGAGATACTAAAATGTAAGAACTAGAATGCTGAAATAAGAAAAAGCACCCGTACACGAAGTGAACAAACTAGTTGCGTGCCCATTTAACTTCCAGATTATTATACCAGTTGAACTTAATACGTACTTAATCCGTAGAGGATGGAGAATGAAAAAAAAAAAAAAAAAA